ACAAAATGTGGGTGAATACATGGATGTCTGGAACTATACAGGGTGGTCCTTCGAGAATCAAGAAATGGCTGTTTCTTGCGGCTTAGTGATAGAGTGCTTGCTCACATGCATGAAGCCCTGGGTTGGATTCCTCAGTACCACATACACTCAAGTAGTAAAGTGTATGCTTTAGTGGCTCAAGTAGTAGAGTGCTAGCCTTGAGCAAAAGAAGCTCAGGGACAGTGCCCAAGCCCTGAGTTCACAAGCCCCAAGACTGGCAAAAAAGAATCAAGAAAGGGGTACCTTGCCCAGAGAGTTCACCCTACCCAGACATGAAGTTCTGGCACACAGGTGCTCTACACCTGTCTGAGGGTACACCAGTGGCCTCTGTGCTCCCATCCAAGGGGTACACAGTGGCCTCCTTCCTGAGCTCACCGCTGGCGTAGGCACTCCAGCTGCAGACACTGGCTGTGGGATTTCTTGGCCACCACTGGCTGACCCAGTTCCCTGATAAATCCTCTCCTATCCTCCCATGCTGGTCTCTGGAAAATTCTAGCTAATACACATCCTGCTTACCTTTTCTGGGCCAGCCTGGCTTGACCAGCCAAGTGTCTAGTCTTCATTGTACTCTTTTTTTTTTTTTAATTTTATGGGTCATTGCCAGTCTTTCTCCATCATTTCTTCCTTTTCTTCTTTCCCATCTGCTTTTTAAAAAAATTACTGTTTTCTTTCAGTTACTTAAGATAGATGGTTAGTTTTTCATTTTGGACCGTCTTTTCTGAATTAGGTGTTTATCTCCTGCCCCAGGTGTCTATATTTACTCGTTTCTCTGAACATCTGTCTGTCCAGTCCTGCTGCTGTAACAGAATGCCCGAGACTGAGTGATTTACAGTGAACAGAAAGTAATTGACTCACACTTCTGGGGTCAGGAAGTCCAAGAGCATGGCACAGGCATCTGGTGACCACCATGCACCAGTGAATGACAAGGATAATGTGACTTCTTGACTCCCTTTTCCAATCACTTTTATTTCTTCCTTGCCTTCTTGCTCTGAATTGGAAGTCAAATGAGTTGGATGACAGTGGGGAGAGTGGACACCCTTGTCTCATTCCTGACTTTAGAGAAAATGAAAGGTTTTTATTTTTTCTTCTTATTTAGTATGGTATTAGCTATAAGTTTACCAATTAAAAGACAATCAGACCTTTCTTCTAAATTTTCCAGTTTCTCCCCTTTAAGTTTTTCCTCTAAATTTTATGGGCACGTTTGTTGGCTCCTTTTTTTCTAATTTTATTAATTTGCGTCTCATTCCTCCTCTTTTTGGTCAGATTGGCTAGAGGTTCATTGGTCCTACATATTATTCAAAGAACAAGCTTTTTGTTTCATTGATTTTAGTTTGCATTTCATTAACTTCTGTCCAAATCTGCCAATTTGGGGTTTGACTTGTTACTACTTACTTAGAAGCATTAGCTGCATGATTGGGTAGTTCATTTGCGGTCATTTGGGGTTTTGTTTGTTTCTGAGGCAGACACTCATATCTATAGCTTCCCTCTTAGCCCTGCCTCTGCTGAGTGCCAGTGGTCCCTGTGGGTATCGTGTCATTCCACTTCATCGTAGGGATGGAGTCATTAGACTGTACAAACTTCAATTTTCCCTCTCCTTTCTTCAAGATCCACTTGTCATTCAGTCAACAATGTATTATTTGTTCTCCATATGTATTCTGTAGGTGTTTGTTTTGGTTTGGTTTTTTTTTTTTTTTTTGCCTCTGTTAAGCTCTATTCCATTACAGTCCAACAGAATCCAGGGAGTTATTTCAATGTGATTGTTTTTACCAGGACTTGCTTCATGTCCTAAAATACATGATTTTTGGGAAAAGTCCCATAAGCTGTGGAGAAAAATGTGTATTGTGCAGCTGCTGGGGGAAATACTTTATGGATATTGGTGTCTACTGTCCATTTAGTGTATATTCGGAGGTTTCCTTGACCTTTTGACTAGATGATACATCCATTGGCGAGAAGAGGGTTTTGAAGCACCCCACTGTTAAACTGCTGGAGTCTAGCAGTGCTTGTTAAGTCCAAAAATATTGGTTTGATGAACTGTGTATACCAGCTTTTTGTGTGCATATGTATGTATTAGCCGCTGTTATATTCCCTTAATAGATTGTCCTAACAAATCGTAGTCTAAAATATTTGATCAACTACAAGTATATCCAGTCCTTCCTGCTTTCAGAGTCTATTGGCTTGGGGGGGGGGGCGGGGGATCTCAGTTCATCCTTTCACCACAGCCTTAGTTTGTCTTTATCAGTGAATGAGATTCATTTCTTATAGTCAGCTAATCCAGCTTGCCATCTGATGTCTTTTGATTGGACAGTTGAGATAATCACCATTCAGTGTTAATATTGAAAGGTCTGCCATAGTTCCTGTCCTCTCGTTGATATTCTGTTCCTCCCTTGTTAATCTACACATCTTGTGGGTTTTTTTCCTTTTCTATACCTTCCAACTTTTGCCTGTCTTCCTGTTCTGTGTGGAGGATTCCTCTAGAATCTGAACAGTGCTGGTTTAAGTCATGAATTCCATAACTTTTGATTTGCTTTGGAGTATGTCATTCCAAGAGCCCTTTGCATTTAGAGCCTATTCTGAGAAATCTGAGGTCATTCTGATGGATACTCCTTATATCTGGCTTGTCCTTTGTCCTGAAGATTTATCTTTGTCAATTTTGAATACCTAGTGTTTTTAATTAGAATATGTCCAGGGTTTGACTTCTGTAGTTTTGCCTACCTGGAGTTTTGTAAGCTCTTGTTCCTAGGTGACCCTCCCTCGTGGCAGTCTGCCATTAATTTACTGAATATGCTTTCTGTGTCTTTAGTGTGTACCTCTTCTCTCTCTTATATGCTCATGAGTCATCAGTTTGGTCTTTTGATTATATCCCAGAGGTTTTTGCATTTACCACATATCATATATTACTCTAGTTTTGTCCCTCTGTCTTTGTGTTTGATTTATTTGGTTCCTCTAGTTTATCATCAGTTTCTGGTTTTCTTCTTTAAACTTGTTCAAGTCTATTAGTAAGATTTCTGATAGAACTTTTGAGTTTTTCATTTCCAACATTTTCAATTTAGTTTTTTCAGAGTTTCGATAGCTTTGTTGGGTTTCTCTTTCATTCACACATTGCCTTCCTTCCTTTAGTTTGTTGACATTCTCCTTGAGTTTAGTCAGCTATCTCTTTAATTTCACAAGTTGTACATTGTATTTGTCAAATTATACATCTGCCACTGATCATTCTTGACAAAAATGGAAAATGGACAGGGCTGCAGAATGGCTTGCTTTCCATCTTATTTTGAGTTGTAGAGTTACTTAGATACACTAGAAACATGTCAGATCTATGTTTTACAGTATTTCCTCCTGGTATGAGACAAGCCTGTTCATTTCAATAGCCATATCTTATTTTATTTCAAAAGTATACAAGGTCACATAATACAAGTTTTTGTTTTTCCTTTACTCAAAGTTTGTAAGAACAAACTTTGTAAGAACAAACTATGAAATCTGCACCACTGGTTATGTGTAAATCAAACATCTTAAATACAAAATATGAAACTGACACTATTAATAGTCTGTTCTGCAAGTGTGAAGTGTCAAAATATTTTCCTCCATAGCACAGCATATTCATCACCAAATAAATGAATCTGCAAGTTGTGTTTCTTGTAACACTTGTGTCGATAAGAGGCAGAAAACACCAAGCTCTTTTTTTATGCCCACAACAAAACAAAGCCAATAGCAAGTCACCACATTATTAAATTACAAGATATGTATTTTTTAAGCTTGATTTTAATCAAGAGGCTAGTGTTGTCTTCCATAAGTGATCACCCTTCCCGAAAGACAAGCATAGTGGGTCAAATTTTACCCGCAAAAAAATCCAGCTTTGGTTTCTAATAAAATTTTTAAATCTATGAATTAATTTAGGGAAAACCACACCTTACAACATTGAATTATTTATCTGTGGACCCTGAGCCTCTCTCAGTCTACCTCATGCTGGAACTGCCTTGAATTCTAGAGGCTAAATGATTTATTTTGGCAGCCAGAAAAAAATAATGGAGATATGCTGGGTGTGGTGGTGAACACTTGCAGGCCCAGCTGAGGCAGGAGGATTACAGGTTGGAAGCTCTCCCACTCAATATAGTGAGACTCTGTCTCAAAAAGAGATGGAAATAATAAAATAGTGAAGATAGTGACAACTTACAATAATATTTAAACAGAAGTGGTTGCCAGCTCCAAGGTAGAATTTGTAGTGAGTCCTTACATCAAATTCATGGCATGACTTTCTCCCAAGCACCGGTGGCCAGATGAACTCACACAGGGCCCCCTGGGGGCGATAACAGCCCTGACCCTCACGCCTGGACAGGTGGGGCTCACCAGCTGGTCCCCAGCGTCTATCTCCTCCTTCCCCATCCAGCTGCCAGGCTCGGGTCTCAAACGGGCCGTGCTGACTGGCAGCTTTCCCACCTCACCCACATCTCTGTCCCCAAGGCTCCTCTCCCCGTGTGTCTTTACAGTTCCCAAATTCAAGCCTCAACATTTCACTACTAAGCTAAAATCCACTGTGGTGATTCCCACACCATGGATCTGTTGTTCAAGACTAGATGAGGGAATGACGAACATTCCCAAGGTGGTGGCCACACGCGGGTGTTAGCACCCGCAGACCCATCCGCCTGGTGTGTCAGAAGAGTCCTGTGTGCCCAGCTCGGGGGTGCCCTCCACGCTCCCTCCACGCTCGTTGCCTTTGCTCCCAGCAGTCTGCCGGTTCTTGTGTTTCAATTGCATTTATGTTTGCTTCTATGGACTTGCCACCGTGTAATCCAGACACGAGCCGCCAGCATTGCCCCGTGGCTGACTGCAGTCTTCATGAGACTGTTTGAACCAGATCAGGCTCACCCTACGTCCGTGGACACTCTCTTCCTCGCACCTTGGTTTGGAGTGGCTGGAATGGACAATGCCATCTATCTGCCTTCAGGACCCGTCTGTCCCAGTCCTACCTGTCAAGGACAGCGTCCTGCACACCTCCGAGTGAGCTGGCTGCTGCTCCAGCAGAGCCGTCTCGTCCATACCTGCGACAGTATCTCTGTGTGAAGCCTGTGCCTTCCTGGGAGGGTAGTGAACTTTCTTCTGAGGGGGGAGCCGTAGAAGTGTGAGGGACGTCATGGCAGGTGAGATGGGTACAAACAGGGCCCCAGCCCAGGGCAAGAGAGCCAAGCACAGGGCAATGCCTCACCCCCGAAAGCCTGTGGGCTGTAAAGAGCACATTTCAAAGGAGCTGCCACCCAGGCAGTACCTGGGATTGGTGCTGAGGGAGCCCTGCAGGCCAAATCACAGAGGTCCACAAAGAATGTGGAGGAAGAAACAAGAGGCAGAGCTAGCGACGAGGGGCTGGCAGGCAGCGGAAACGCACATAGGCGTGGCATGTGGCCTCGCCGGAGAGATCTCACCTAGGCACCAGGGACTGAGCAGTTATTTGTCTAGGTGTTTGATGGGAGCCAAGATCAGAACAGCCAGCAGCACTGGCTAGAGAATACGGGAGACCACACCCTCTCTGCTTCTTCAGGCTAGAACCCGGGATGATGGAGGGCTGAAAGGCCAGTGGAAGAAGAGGTGTTGGTGGCTGGGAGAGAAAATGACAGCTGGAGGGAGAGGCTGGGAGTGCTGCCACCTCCTGGTGACTCTGGCCAGCACCTTCCGCTCCAGAGCGGCACAGCCATTTACCACACATGCCGGGTCTCCAGCAGGGAGGGCTGGCAAGGCCAGATGCTAGAAGAACAAGTAGCATTTATGTACTGGGCACTGAGCTTTTATTGCTATTAAGACTTTATATTTTATTATAGGGTGGGGTGTGTGTGTGTGTGTGTGTGTGTGTGTGTCAGTTGTGGGACTTGAACTCTGGGCCTGGGTGCTGTCCCTCGGCTCTTCAGCTCAAGGCGAGCTCTCTACCGCTCGAGCCGCATTGCCACTTCCAGTTTTCTGGAGGTTACTTGGAGATAAAAGAGTCTCACTGACTTTCTTGCCTGGGTTGGCTTTGAAGTACAGTCTTCAGATCTCAGCCTCCTGAGTAGCTAGGATTACAGGCATGAGCCACTGGCGCCTGGCTTCTATTAGAGTTTTACATTTGAAGGAGAAGTAACTGGTAAGGGAGCTCCATACTGTTTCCTGTCCCCCAAAAGATGTGGCTTTCTGTCCTGTGCCAGACGCAACCAGAGTGAGCTCGGGTGAGGTCAGAGCTCTCTGGCAGGTGTTAGTTAGCAATGTCTGCTAAGCCACCTTCCTTTTTGAGGCTGTTTCTGGATCTGTGTAGAGTAAGTGCCAAGTTCTCATTAATTCTGACATTTCTTTCACTCCTGAGGCTTGGCTTTGAGACTCAGGAAATGGCTACACAGAAAACTTTACAAAAGTAGCAGGGAGTCTGGTATTTAGCCCAGGAGGAAGGGAATTAAAGCATTCCCTTCATCTCCACAGAGAACTGAAACAACCAACCAAGAGGCAAGCAGGCTCTGATCACTGTGGCAGCAGCAAGACACGTTTGGCAGTGGTCACGGGAGCTAATGAAACAAGGTGAGAAATGTACAGTAGAAACTGCAGGATCTAAAGCGAGATAACTGTCATCTTTTTAGGGTGGTTAAAGGCGTCGGAGTTTAATGAGTGCCTGAGCTGGGAGTTCAGCTCAGTTCGGCTCCACCCTGGCTCGTCAGCCAGAGGCCTGAAGCTGAAGGCGGTGGTGGCAGTGAACAGTGGTAACTACTGCAGAACAAAGCGCAGATGCTATCTGGAAGGCCCAGCCCTGGTGCTGCGAATGCCGCCCTCAGCCTCCACACCAGCATCCTCCACACCTCATCCACAGCCTCTCCTCCCACCTGGCCATCCACACTGACGGACAGGAGAGTAACACCGTGCCAAATGAGACCCATACCTCTGTGGGGGGTTGTTTGCCTCACCAGGGAAGCTCCAGAGACTTCCCTGCCCCGCTCCATCTTTTTTTTTTTTTTTTTTTTACCAGGCCCAGGGCCTGTCCCTGGAGAGGATCCCCCAGGAGGAGGCCCCATCCTCTCTGCAAGGGCTTGATCAATACTCAGATAAAGTAATCTGGTGTCTTCTGTGTGTGTCCCTGTCTCCTTACCAATGGTCACCTCTTCCACTCACTGTAGGCTCCGTGCCCCACTAAACCAGCACTACAAAGAGTTCTAAAGGGAGGAATCCAATCTGAAGAAAACAATGAAAATCAAAGCCACACACCCGACAAAAATCACTGGATCAATTTAGGAAACAGGAAGAGGAAAACCCAAAATACAAGAAATCAAGAAAATGGCAGGAAACATGATACATCTCTCTACAATAACCCTGAACATAATGGACTCGATTCTCTCACCAAAAAAGGAAGAATAGCAGGTGGGTGTCAAAAAATAAGATCCAGGGCTGGGAAGGTGGCTCAGTGGTAGAGTGCTTGCCTTGCATGCATGAGGCCCTGGGTTCGATTCTTCAGCACCACATAAGCAGAAAAAGCTGGAAGTGGAGCTGTGGCTCAAGTGGTAGAGCACTAGCCTTGAGCTGAAGAGCCGAGGGACAGTGCCCAGGCCCAGAGTTCAGGCCCCAGGACCGACAAAAAAAAAAAAAAAAAGATCCACCCCACGGGTGGGTTGTGTTTTGGGTGAACGGATGGAAGACATGTCTTTTAATGTATTCCCGGCATGTCACCGTGACTGGATAAACAAAACACAACTCATCACTGACCTCGGAGCAAAGAATTTGGTACAGACCTGTGCACAAAATAACCTCAGCCGCCAGGGACAGGGAACGTGAGCAAGCGAGCAAGCAAGTGAGCGAGCAAGCGAACAAGCAAGCTAGTGAGCGAGTAAGCAAGTGAGCGAGCAAGTGAACAAGCAAGCTAGTGAACGAGCAAGCAAGTGAGCGAGCAAGCTAGTGAGCGAGCAAGCGAACAAGCAAGCTAGTGAGCGAGCAAGCGAACAAGCAAGCTAGTGAACAAGCAAGCAAGTGAGCAAGCAAGTGAGTGAACAAGCTAGTGAGCGAGCAATCAAGCAAGCAAGCTAGTGAATGAGCAAGCAAGTGAGCAAGCGAGTGAGCAAGCTAGTGAGCGAGCAAGTGAACAAGCAAGCTAGTGAGCGAGCAAGCTGAGCAAGCAAGCGAACAAGCAAGCTAGTGAGCGAGCAAGCGAACAAGCAAGCTAGTGAGCGAGCAAGCGAACAAGCAAGCTAGTGAGCGAGCAAGCTAGTGAGCAAGCAAGTGAGTGAGCAAGCGAGCAAGCTAGTGAGCGAGCAAGCGAACAAGCAAGCTAGTGAGCGAGCAAGCAAGCGAGCAAGCAAGTGAGCAAGCTAGTGAGCGAGCAAGCGAACAAGCAAGCTAGTGAGCGAGCAAGCCAGTGAGCAAGCAAGCTAGTGAGCGAGCAAGCCAGTGAGCAAGCAAGCGAGCGAGCAAGCTAGTGAGCGAGCAAGCAAGCGAGCAAGCAAGTGAGC